TGGACTGGATGAGCTTTCAAGGTCCCTCCCACCTCCTAACATTCTGCGATTCTGTGAATACACCTTGGTAAACTGCATGGTATAACTGTAACTAATTACTATTCATTATATGTAGGGTCAACTTGTATTGTATTTACACAGATAGCTCAGCCTGTCCTTACTGGAAAGTATTTTTAAAATTACACATATAACTTATGGAACCAAGACTGTGACTGTGTTGTTTTTCTTTTGGGGAATTTCTTTTTTCCAGCTATAATATCTGTATTCTTCAAGGGCAGGGTTTACCCCAGGACTCTATTTGTTGCAATGTATTGTTGCAAGGCCTGATGCAGCTAAGCTTGCTTTCTATGCAAGTGATGCCTTCTCTTATTTTACACTCTTCCTCTAGTCTTGCACAGGCCTCTACAACTTTATTGATCCCTGCCGAACAAATAAAGGCAGTATTGTTACCGATCCATTAGGCACCAGCTATTTCTGCTATTAAAAAAGCTTGCTCTACAGAAGCTCATTCTCAGTTCTTAAAAATTTCTAGTACTTTAGAAAAAGCCACAAATTGATCCTCTCTGTCTTCTCAGTCCTGATCTCTATTCTTGCTATGGAAACTTCCATAATATTCTTAATTCTGTGCAAAGACAAGAGCTGAAATATACTGGAAGTTTCAATATTAAGACTATACTGTACAGGAACATCTTTCAACACACCTCTGAAATGCTAGCACAAAATGAGCTTTTTTATATAGAAACTAATGTGGCATTTAGGTTTTCATCTCAGTAACACACAGGCAAACTGCTTTCCTGGTAAGTGTTTTGCATACATTATAACGGTATATATACAACTTTAAACCATCTTAGAGATCATGGATAAAGGCAAAAATGTTTTAAAAAAGTTTCTTGAAAGCGCTGAAAGTTAAAAATAACTACAAGCCAGGATTTTTCATATTTTTTAATACTTTTCACTTTTAAATACTGGTTTTAAATCTGTGATTGTAAGAGCCAACCTCTTTTAAATTTTAAGACTTATCATTAGGATCCATAAAGCTATTATAGAACAGTTACACTCTACACACTCAAGGTACTCAAAAACATGATTCATGTTTTAAGTCTGTAGATGAACAGTAGCAATTCAAATACAGCATTATCTGTACAACTTGACAAAAATACAGGTGGACAATGTGATTAATCTGCACAACTTCAGGTAAGCTAGCTCAGCCCAATTAAGTAAAAGGTAATTTTTTTTTCCCAAAGTACATGGCATTTTTCACAGATAAGTTTGTCAAAATAAGATGTTCAGGTTCTCTGACAAGGTAACAATGATCATCTCATCCTCATTCCCAATACAAGTTCTATCAAGTAATTTCCTTCACATCTAGTGTGGTAACATCCAAACTCTCCAAGAGGACACAGGTACTGGACTTCAAGGCTGCTGCTTTCTCAGCCCTTCAAGTTGGTTCAGTTTATAAAAACTTCCAGAGTCTGGAGCTGCTTCTGCAAAGATCACTACAGCTGTGTGAACACTACTACACATCAACAGGAAGTGAACTCAGAGTGCACAGATTGGTGGCAGTGACTGAAAAGAGGGATGTGCTCAAGCAATAGGGCAAATTTTACAAACCCATAAAGGGATCTAATGGCTACTTTCACACAGACCATCTGAGAGGCCTACAGAGAACTGCCTTCTAAAATAAAGAGCCTTCTTGCTTTTAAAGAGGTCAATTAATACCAGTTTCTCAATCTTGCAACTCCTTCCATATTGTTTAAGAAGCCTCTTATAACTTTGATTGGGCAGGGCTAGCTGTAGTGAAGAACCAGTGCTGTTGTCTAAAAGTAAAATGTATTCTCTACAAATAGTGTCTGTAGTGTAATTTTATTTACAGAGTAAATTGCAAAAGTACATCACATTTAGTGCAAATGCAACTAATGATATAAGTTTATATACTGCTCTGTAAACTTTCCATACCTTTGTAAAATAAAGCTATCCAATTAAATAAGCTTGCTGGTGTTCCAACAATTACCAGAAACAGCAAACAAGGAGTTAAACTCTTTATAATTTGATTTATTTTTTTTAAGTTCCCATCAGTGGCCATGGTAGAATGAACCATTGCTTGGCTGATTGTAGAAAGATGAAGCACGTTTGAGGTATAAGATTTTTTTTAACATTGCTATATAAAATGCTTACTGGTGACATAGTAAACACGTACAAATTTTCGTCTTATTTGCCTTACTAGCATTACCATATAGGCACTTTTCTACATATTCAAATTAACAGAATAACTCTGTAATAAGGCATATTCCATGCACACCATTAGAGAAAAGCAAATAAAAAGGGATGAGTAATTAAGCATGAAATCTGCATGCACGTGTAATCATGTGTTATGTATTATTCCATCTCTACAAAGAAGACATACAGATAGAAGTTTCTCAACACTGTGCAGGTCACATTTAGTCATTTACCAAATCTCCCATAAGTTACTATATTAAGTTTATTTTCAAGCATCTACTGTACTTCAGCTTTCTTTTAAAAAAGAAAAGATCTGAAATTCTTTTCTCGAGATACACAGGTTAGTGAAACACTGAGCAGTCTCTGGGGTTTCCAACTATGGGACACAGATAAAAGACCTCAAAGTTTGTACCAGTCTGACACAGTACTCACATGAGCATCTCCAGAATCAAAGGTAGGCAAATACCTGATGTTTAAAGTCTCACAGCAACTAAAGGGAACTTTCCAGTAAGAACTACACATCCTTACAGCTCTGATAGCTTTTTTGATCAAGAGGCAAGTGATTTTCTACGTGAACCTCACAGCACGGCTTTATTATGATGAAAACACATGCAGGATCTGAAAACAATACTCATCCTCATTCTAGACTGGTAATGTTGTTTTACGTAGTCCAAATTACTTCAATAAATATTATAGTGTACCTTCTCACAGCTTCGGGAAAGCCCTGGGTATCATGCAGGAAAGCAGCTCACATACAGCATGGACAGATGAATTCTAGCCTGCAGGCAGTATCTCGCCCTCTCATACAGAATCTTCCTAGATATTTCTGGATCATGTTTAATAACAAAAATTCTGTAGCACATATTACATAACTAAAAAATACAATAGAAATATAAAGATATCTGGGAAAAAATAAAGCTTTTCACACTCTTACTCCTTCAGAACCAAATATCGTCATCAGAGTAAGACAATAGAAAAGGCAAAGTCATAAGGATATTGACAGCCCTCAGTTATTAACTGACATTTTATGTAACAAGATGATTCGTTATAGAAACTAGCAGCAGTGAACTATGATTATACAAAGCAAAACAAAACCTGTCAATAAGTCACCTAGGCTTTACTGAAGTCCCTCCCCTCCATAACACCACAGATTTTTGTGCATATAAAGCCCATACAGTATGCTATATGTTCATCTGTCTTTTGTGCTTTTTAGACATGCACAAAAAACTGCGCCATTATCTTAGGAAGGTTGACAATGAAAGTCTGCAACTTTTTAAAAATTAAAGTAGTAACCCATGTTGGTGATTCAAAGTTGTACATGTTCTTCCTCTTCTAAAGCAAGAAAGTAAAAATAGAGCCATATACATGTTATGAATACATGTATTTATAACAACACACTGATTCAGCAAGAAAAGTTAGCAGGAGAGAGCTAGTGTTAAATATTCAGCCTCATGGTGTTGCAACACTTCTTCACTTCAGTATACAAAGCCCAGAACTTGGGCCATGAGAAGACTGTAGATCCTTCGTTCCAGCATGGAGTGGTCTATGCATGGACACTTCTCCAACGTGGAATGCTCACCCAGTCTTGTTCTGATTGCTGCAGGCAAGCAAAGACAAAAATGCAGCACTAAAAAAAGTTTGAACACTAATAGGAAAACCAGAACTTGTCAAACACCTTAAATAGTATCAGTGCTGCTGTGGTCACATTTCAACTGTTGGCTCATGACAGGCATGTATTTAAGGCTTCACCTACACTAGTTCTCCAACAATATATGATTAGAAATGTGAATCATTACAGGGCTACCTGTTACAGAAGGATCAAATGACTAACACTTTTGGAGTCTAACATAATAAATAGAACCCAAAAATTGAGGTAGCCTATGGCATGCATAGCAGAAATGATAAAAACTCCTTTTCAGATCATGCTGTAATACTAGAATTACCAAATGGAACTTGATGGTTTGACACTACTGTTATACATAATGAAGTATACAGCAAGAATCTACACTAAAAAAATTAAGCAAAGCCTTTACTTAGCACTAAGGCTTATGTCTGACAGCTTCAGAAGTGTTTAAGAAATCTGCTACCAATGTAATAGCATCATTTAAAATAATTTTAGATTAGCCCAATGATCTATACCATTAAAATACATCCATTGACTTCAGAAAGCATCTGTAAGTCCCCTTTCTCTCTTAGGCTCATCAGAAAGGCTAAAAATTTAAGTCACAACCTTTTCAATACTCCAGCAATTGACAGTGGTCTGTCAGAAAAGCTGCATTAATAAAAATCCTAGATGAAATCTATGCAGTCAATATAAAATAATACTTTGACCTTCATGATATTCTACTGAACATGCAATTATAAGTAGAATTTAAGATATCAAAATCTCATGAGGGTCTAGAGAAGCTTCAGTATGTATTTTCAGAACAAGTATAAAATGCCTGTGATAGCTGAGAAAAATACTCCATCCTTTTATACTTCTACATAAATTAGACATGCAAAAACTTGCAAGATAAACTAGTAACAGTCTACAAATTGTAAACTAATACTCGATATATTATGCACCCCTTATTTTTCATGCTAATAATAGACATGAATATTTTAAAACATATATTACATTTATTTATGAAAACTAAGCACTGAATTAATGCTAATAATGGTAAGACATTTCTAGATTGCATAGTTCTGTTTGGCCTTAAATTTACAACAGTGAATCAAGAATGAAAAAAAATAATGCATACCTGCTAATACTAGAATAAAATAGGCTTTCCTGCTGTTTTTTCTTGAACATATGATGTAAAACGCTTCAGGAATTTTGGATATTCTCGTTTTGCCACTGCCCGTAACACTGATGCTGGTGCCCATCCTCCTGGGTTCACTAGAAGTAGAGAGAAAGACACTGAAATACAGCAGATTTGCTAAAGACTAGAAAAGAAAATTTAAGTTCGTTATTCCTGTAACTCTTTCTGAAGTAACAGGAATGAATAATTATCAGCAGACGTTTTTCGTGGCCTTACAGCTTGTATTGTAGCACTTTCTACTTAATACTCAAGCCCAGTCCTGTTCTGTCATGTCACTAATTAGAAAACATTAAACACGACGTACGCTGCGTGTTTAGAGAGTGCCCGGATGGAAGATGATATTCTCTAAGGACTTCCAAGAAACAGAAACTCAAGTTACTTCTTATTTCAAAGAAAACAGAAGTGAGCCTTAACTACTTAACTGCTGCATTTTTCTGCAGAACTGCTACATGGCTAAGGCCTGAAAAATTATTTTTATGTATTTAAACAAAATTCGAACCGATTCCAAAATATGCTTCAATTCACAAGGCAAGTATTTTGCTGAAAAAGCTGCCACTTCCCATATGATCATAGTTCAGAATTTATAAATTAAAATGTATTTTTTAAGTAATTGTGAAACTTCTAAAAAGCAAACAAAGCAACTTACCTGAGTTTAACACCATATAGTATTATTTGTACAGGTTTTAATACAAATTACATCACTCCTATGTCGCAAAGATGTACTGAACCAATCTGTCAGATTTTGACTTTTTAGTAAACCATGTAATAGAGCTGGTTGAAAGTAATAAGCAGATAAAGTGTTTGATGATTTTGAAGTGTTCTGTAGCTGCAGAAGAGGAGCTAATATGTACGTAGCTCCAATACTACAATACGTTGCTAAATACTGTGTAAAGTATTTAGCTTTGATAACTTTTCAGTCAATACCAGGGATTCTATCAGTTAAAAAATAAGAAGGTAGACCACATTATACATCTTGCAAACATCCTCATGCAAGATGTATTTGCTGCTTCTTAACACTGAAGATGAGAACTGTATCTTTACTATGAACAGCTTTTCAGCCTGACAAGATCAATTGGAAAAAAATACAGTGACACTTGAAAAAACACACTATTACTGAAACTAAAAGGTATGCCAAATCATCCAACTTGCAGACATCTCTTCTGCCCACCCTCCTCCACCCCAAGGTTCTGTACTTAGGACTGAGCTACACACCACTTCCATTCATTCCTCTCAGAATGCCACACAATAAATGATCCCATTCACCGATTTATGTAGTACATTAATTCGAGTCTTTTTTGAACATGAAGACCAGAAGTGTGATGCTATATATAAATTTAACAGAAAACTGCATCAAGCTTTTTTTACCAGTATTCAGCTTCCAGATTTAGCACATATTATGAATGTCATATTGAAAAATTTTAAGACTTACCATTAGCTACATATGTAATCTTGCATAGGATGTTCTCCCTGCTTATTTCCTTGTTCCCCTCTGGTGGGCTTACTAACGTCTGACAAATCATAGCAATATTTATTTTGGCACGGACACAGCGATTGTTCAGCTGCCAAAAAAAATGAAACATCTGTAAGCTTCAAATTAAATTTCTTTCAGCATACTTAACTGCTAACATTTTAATTCACTATGAAGTCTAAGACACTCAGTCTGCATTCTAACACTACATGGATGTAACACAAATGTGAATGAAATGAAAAGTACATGGTAAATAGGGGAAGGGTTAAACTAAAATACCTGAATCTCAGTTTTTCGCTTGCTTAGTAAATGTAACATGAATTACTTCAATTATTGTGACAAATGACTAAAGAAACATTTAAAGAACAATGTATCAGCATTTACAAATACTTGGTTTAAATAAACTATTTTTGCGTAACCCTCCATTTTCTCACACTAGTATTGCATATGCATTAACACGTAATAGCAAAACATTATTTTAAAAGCAGAACTTGATATAATGAAAACAATACTTACAGGAGCGCTGTCATGTTCCACAGAGAAATTGCACACAATCCATGTTTCAGGATCATTTTCACTGAATGCTGGTATCTTTCTGATAGCAGACAAATACAGCACATCCCTTTGGGAAGCTGGCCACACCCTCTGCAGAGAAAAACCTCAAAGTGAGCCTTTCCAGTTTTGCAAATTAAGTACTTACTATCCTTAGATAAAGCTAAAAACAAAGCAAGTCAAACCAGGTCAGTTATGTTATTTAAAAGTTTCTTCAAGTTAGTAATTTCATTTTCAAAACTGAAACAGAACATAGCTGTTGTACAGATGCATATCAGGTTACATGGTCAAATTTAATATTTAAAAAACCAGACAAAAGTTTAAGGATTTTGAAATACAGAAAGCCAAACTGAAATTACTTTTTCAGTAGGCAAGCTGAAAGAGGCAGTTCACCCCCTGTTCCCTCAAAATCAAGTTTACTACTTTAGTTAATACTTGTAAGTTAAACAATGAACTAGAGTTAAAGTATAAATAGATGCATCTACAGTTACTCATGGCTCCAGAGGGAAAGAAAAAGGGAAAGAAATATTTTAGACAAATATTATTTCAAAAGCCTACTACATCAGTAAGACAGATATGGTAAACTGGTATTATCTAAGAGAAAGTTTCAGAAACAAAATGATAAAATAAGAAAACATACAGAAGTTATTTTTCTGACATTCAATAGGGGGAAAAAGTCTAGCTTCTACCACAACACTATACAGTTTACACAACTGTTTTACTCAAAATCATGAGTCCTCTGTTACAGAAGTTTTAAGATAACCACATTAGTGGTAAAATTGTAAAAGAAAAATACTTGGTTTAATATGCGAGTATACTAATACTTGGAATCACACAAGATTAAACATGAATCTGTATGCTCTATTCCCATTTTTTGAACCTTTAAGTTACGGTTACTGGGTTATAATGAAAATGAACATTTTAGTAAGTTCACACTAGAACTAGGTGGGGGAGAAAAAACAATGAAGTTATAAGAACAAATGTACCAACAATTATACCCCCTTATAATGCAAATGTGTATGTCAACTAATTGTGGTCAACAATAGCTTGTATTATTGCAACAAAACATACGATACAGTGGTATACGTTTCTTCTTTGTAGTCAGTGTTGATTTATTGTTTCCATTTGCTTTAGATGCCTTGCTGGCAGTGATATACTTGGAGTTTAAAAACAGTGCTCACTTGTTATTACAAGCTATATCAGACACATGCACAACCAATTATGCTATGAAGACAAGCTTGAAAAATTGACAAAGTTGCAGTTTAATAGAGAACTTGTTCTGAAATGTTGTTCTGAACAGTATTTCAAGTTGTTAAGTATTCACAGTAAGATTAGAACACATACACCACAAACTGTCTTGGTAAGATAGGCATATGGCTGAAGTATTATTACCTTATGTGTCTGGTAAATGATGATTGCATTATCAGCTAAGTTTTCCACAACATGGAAATTTTCAATTGTTGCTAAAAGAGGAAGGGGGGAGAAAAAAAAATCCATCAATAAACAAGCATGGATATTAGGTCAATTTTATAAACAGCATCCTTGCTGACGAACATGCAAAGCTTAAGAACCGATTCCTTACTCTCCCAGTCATTACGAACATCAACGTTCCAGAAGTAGTGACAAACTTCATGCCCTGTTACCCCTTTAACAGCATGGGTTGCTTTCAAAGGATCTAAAACTATTCCATTCTCTTCCACCTCTCTTCTGTATACCTACAGCCAAATACAAAGAAAGAAATGTAGAAAATAAATCATCAAAACCGTTCATGTTTTATTTGTTTAAAAATCAGATTTTTTAAAAACCTCACTTGCCTAGAAGACTAAACACAAAAAATTTGCAATGTCAGTGTTCTCTGGTAACTACCAATACAGACATTCTTACACAGCAGTTCACATTAAAATACCAGTATTTTAAGAATCTCTACTCCAAAAATTAAGCTACCTTATTTATCACTATGCACAAGGAGCCATACAAGCACAGCAGAACAGCAAATGCACCAAACCTGTTACTCCAATATTTTTGTACAATAAATTTACACATCATTTTGATACCAAGTCTTAAGTAGGAGAGAATAAGAAACAAATCGGCTACAGAAAGACAAAGCTACTGCAAAAGCTACACAGGATTTTGTATGATCAAATATATTAGAAGCTACACTTCTTGTGGACTCCAGGCCTAACTTAAACAACGCTACTGTCAGAGAGAAGTTTTAACAGTGTAACTTGCTGAGTGATGGTACTGCCAGAGAATCATAGAATCATTTATGTTGGAAAAGAACTGCAAGATCATTGAGTCCAACCATAAACCTAATACTACCCAGTCCACCAGACTGAAAGTATTTGTCCTCACAGCATTTATTCTTATACTAATTACATAAAAACCAAAAGGCTTACCTTCATTTCTCCTTCTTCTACCACTAGCTGCCAATTGGCATCTCCTCCTACATCTTGCAAGGAGTAAGTCATATGGTTTTGTACCATCTCTTCTACCTTTAAAGGAAAAAGAATACACATTTTTAACTCATTCATTCCATCTTCTTGAGCAGAGGCTGTACAGTATTGGAAGCCACGAGTTCATATCACTTGCAGGAACTGAATTTGGACAACAAAGCTTTCTATTACAGGTTAAGCACAAGCAGATAACTTCTGGACCTCAGAAGCAAAAGCCAAAATACTGATTCAACTTCCAACTTCATTCTTTATGGGTGCCTCCTATCCTTGCTTTGCACCTCTAAACTGTCAGAACTCACTATTTCCACCTAAGACAGTTTTATTTCAGTGTATAGGAGCTTACTTCAGGTAGCACTAAACAGAATTACAATGCACTGTACAATATTCACTGAAGAGCATTTTAAAAGCTGAACAAAGGCAGGAGGATGGAAAGGAAGACAGACAAGCTCTAAAAAAGTGAATGCACATCAAAAGTCATATTGGAAGAGCAGTGAAGGAAACAATCATGAGCAAAGAATGTCTATTCTGTTTCATTGGCATCTCTGCACAGTTTCCAGGTAGAAAAAAAAATCAGAAATGCTTACATTTAAAAAAAAACAGGATAGAGAGACTCTATTATAAAAAATTCATTTAAAAAATATTTAGCTAGACAGCTGTGTGGCTAAAATATAAAAGGCCAAATATTTAATGTATTTTTATCAAGCTATGTGAACACCTCTTTTTTTTATTCCATATAATGTGTGAAAATGGGTACTAGGACAGGAAATAGATTTTTTAATTTTAAATCTAAAATCTTACTCCCCACACCTTTGGGTTCCCCACACCTTTTCAAATCTCATTTTCCCCTAAATAAAAACACAGGCAAAAATGTAAAGTATCCTTTGCTGCGTAATGTTTACAAGTACTGGAAACACTTCAATAACTTTTTTCCACCCAACAGGGATGCCACTACTAAAACAGCACATAAGTCCATGTGATTGACACTATTTTCCTGGATTACTAGAAATACCTTTTTTCAAAAGGAAAAGTGCTACAAGCAAAGTAGTTAACTGACCAACACAAGGATTAGTCTAAGAAGTGCACAATCACAAGACTGATAGCCTGAACCCATGTTTTGCTCAGCTTACAAAAATACAAAGCCCAGTATGCATATAGAATAACATATAAAATATATATTTAGTAGTACAAGTAGGAAGCAAAACTAAAAAGTACTTAATGATCTTCTTCTGATACAATATAGAATTGAAAGATGCTATTTATGTTTAATTTAAAACAGTAGTTCTGTAATACTCCATGAACAATACACTTAAAACCAGAAAGAAAAAAGGTAACTAAATGAAGTCAGAATCCTCAAAGTACAAAATCAAAATAAAATCCATGGTATGGAAATTCTAGTTCGTCTTACTTTAACGACAAGACTTATCTACAGAAGGAAAAGTTATCAGGCCAGTTTCCAGGGTTTTCTCTGTAGTTTTTTTGTTTGTTTGTTTGGAGGTTTTTTGTTTTGATTTGGTTCGAGTTTCTGCTTATAGACAGGTCATCTTTTCCTGCCAGTTACTAGCAGGCTTCCTACAAAAGATTAATCTATTTTTTTTCCAAGGAAACAATGACAGTACAATCTGAAGTAGGTAAGAATATGGACTATTTAAAAATTCAGTTTACTAGCTCTAGGACACACTTCTTTCAGAAAGGAATCCTCAGCATGCTCCCAACATTTAGCTGCAACACCTTCATATCCCTCTGTCTCTCTTCCCCTGCCTCCTAATCTATTAGGGACAAAGCTAGTTTTTATGTTTGCTTTATTTATTTATTTTTTTCAAAGAATCACAGAATTGTTATGGTTGGAAAAGACCTTTAAGATCATCAAATCCAACTATTATC